CTTACAAACTAAAACCCTCTCGGTGGCCATCTTACGTACATTTGAAGGGACTCCGGGATCTCCCATGCAACGCAGCGGTGTCCCTCGGTACTACGCCTGAGCACGCCTCGGAGAAGGATAAACCTTTCCGACTCCCTCCCGATTCCCTCACCCTCTTGCAGCAGCACGAGACCACTTCGGGCTGCTGCCCATCCGTATCCCCTTTTAGTCGCCTTTTACGAAAGGCAGGAGATACCTTAGCCCTATTCTATGAGCCCGGGACTACACGGCTGAAAGCAAATACTGCCTAGTCACTAAGCAGCTTCATCTTTCTAAATGAATCGTTTTGAAAAGTACCAAGGCCTCATAAGACCAACGTTAGATAGAAGAATTTTAACTTTTATGTTTCATCTGTGAGTTGTACTCGCTTTAAGTGCGGTGGTAATCGCTCAATCAGGTAAAAACTACTTCCCTCTTTAGGTTACCTATACTTAAGCATATAATGCCAATGTTTGAGTAAATTAACTTTTCCAACCGGCAACCGAAACCATTTCGAAGCGATCCATCACCGTAGCAGAGTGAGCATTTAATAATTTATATGCAACATCGAGTCGTAATTAACCACCCAGCTCTCTGGCCATATTTCATTCTAAACCGTTGGATACCCGAGTGATTGATTCGAAGCAAATATGACCAGTTTGCAATTAGACGGGTCACTAATTTTCAACTTTATGACTCAAATCGGCTTTTCTATAATTAAGTGAACCGTAATTATTATCTACACTTTACTGAAGAGGATAATATGAGTGAGGTTAAAATAAAATGTCCCACGTTTATATTAAAGATTTCTCCTTACTGTTTTTGAAAGACTTCGGTAGATTTTATAAAAAGGTATTGCGAACTTAAGGTAAAAACTTTAGACTTATATAATTTAATTCTAACCATCTTTTATTTACTATGCCATTAAAATTATTTTAATTACGCAACTAAGAGGTTCGAAAAGAAATCTAATATTTGCGCGGAAGAAGCGTAATAAAAAATAAAATCAAATCGAATAAAACATTCAACTGAAATAGCTATTCAACATGTTCGTACATGTTTGTACGACATAATTTAACATGTTCGAAGTAACAAAATGACATAAACAAACTAACGATAATAATGGCTACAAATTACAGTCTCAGCCCTGACAAGCCTGAACAAGTATACTCGAATGATGTTATAAGTTAACGGGCCGGTTAAAACTCGATGTCCGTCATATTTGACGGTCGTCCAAACACTCGGCGACCTCAAAAAAATCCGGCACTAGCCTCACATTAATTAAAACTTGAAAAAAAAAAGTGTGCGTGTAATAATGTACAAGCGTTAGAAGTTATATTTCTTTGCGTAACAAGATAAAAATCTTTTCAAAAATTTTATCTATCGCCTTATTCTACGTTTGTAGAAAGAAACGACACTAACTAAAAAAAAGGTATTTAATACATTGAAAGTTTTATTATAACGCATTATATAGTTAAATAAAGTTTATTTAATTATCCCAAAATAAATATCGTGAATACAGTTGTCAGTTCTCACGCAAACATACGTAGATGTCTAGCTAACTTCAAGGTGTCGGTTTTTCGTGACGGTGTACGCGCGCATCGTAAAAATTTCCTCTCATCATTTTTATATTAAGAAGTATAACTTCAAAAAACTGCTCACCGAATATCAGACAACACACATAGAGGGCAAGGATTCAGGAAGAAAAAATGCCTAGAGATAAGATTAGGATAAGTCTTGTTAAGGTTAAACAAACAATTTTTTTTTATTATAAAAACCTGAATGTCATCTTGGCATACTTATATCAAACACGACAAGGCATACTTACCATTTGCACACACCATTTTATAGAGAATATGGACTATACACAAATGGGGCTGACATTTATTGGAAGATGCAAAAAACATGTTTATATATGAGAAGTTGGCGGGCGTTTAATCTGACGTTAAGCCAGGGCCGGATTTAGGGGAGGGCAACCGGGGCTAGAGCCCCGTGCCCCACAATAGAGACTTCAGAAAATAAATCAATTTCGGACTAGTAAACAATAGTAAATGGTTTCACAATAAATTATTTATGGGAAAACTCGATTGAAAAAAATTTTTCGTTTCATTTGGAAAATAATTTGATGCCCCGAGGCCTACAGTCCAATCGGGACCTGCGTTAAGTAATAATATCCGCCAATGGACGTCTACAATAATAATAGGGTTAATTTAGGGCGTTTCGAAGGAGTTCGCGGGAACCCCCGTCACAGGGGATTCGATAAATGAATCGAAAAAATATAACTTCCGCATCACGCCGTCGTCTCTTCTGTGAGGCCATGGTATTTGCCGGAGTCGCTTTTCATTTCCCATACCATACGACGGTATAATTTTAACGTGAAAATTTGACTAGCGAGCAGACGGTCCACCCTGATGGTGCGTGATTATCGTCACCCATATACCTTTGGGTGACGATAATCACTACAACATTGGGTTGCCAACCATTAGAAAAATATAATGTCAAACGTCGACTCCTATTTATTTCGATTCACGTCTTAAAGTTTCCAAGCGTTTCTCAGTCAGGTGAAGTTGAGTTGATAGGCAATTTTAACTTTAAAGTAAGGAGCAGATTTGAAGTTAGACCGTGAAACAGTTCTAGTAATGGATGACTCCGTGGCGCAGTTGCCAAGGTATTGGCTGCGGCGTCGGGAGACGTGGGTTCGACTCCCACACGGGAAAACTGTTTGTGTGACCCACAGATAGTTGTTTAGCATCTGGTTTGTCCACGTGAAATTTATATTTGTGAAACGTCCTTACAACACAGGATAATAACATTATCCTGTGTTGTAAGGACGTTTCCTAAAGTAAGGGCAATGTTTTTTAAAAAAAGTAATAAAAAAATGGCGATCGCACTCCGCGGCATTTCTTAGGAAATACTCCACTAATTGACATTAAACGGGAAACGTTTTTCAACCAGTCTCCAAGCGAAAGTTAGTGAAGAGGACCGATTCTAATTAAATATGCGGTGATTTAAGGGACTCGGTATTTTAAGGGCGCTAATTCCATACGCTATATTTAGCGTGTACTTAATAAGGAACACATGTCGCAAGTTAAGTAACCAACATAATAATAAAATATTTGAATTAATTCGACCAAATCGTACGACCATGTCATTCGTTGCACAAACTTATTTACGAAACACTGCACGCATGCGTCCCGCCAGATAAATCGAGCGATACGAAGCGATCTATCGCATCGGAATCGCGAAAGATCGATTTAGTGAGATACGAAATGTGGAACGGCCCTTAGCCTTTACAAGCGGCTCACGACTACACCGTCTCCGTGTCCAGAGCGCGCATTAATCGTGCGCTGTCGCAATAAATCGTTTAGTTTGAATTCGACTCCATTGTTTCCAGCAATTTGTTGTTTCCTATCGAATTAATAGTATCGAGACTATTTAGTTTCCCAGCGTTGTATCCGCAATAAAAAAAATAGGCATCACTATAGTACTGACAATTTATGAATGTATAAACAATAGCGAGAGTAAAATGATACCGCTATATAATTGTATTTAGCACCATTTCGTTTCATATAGTATAGCAGAATTGAAAAGGAAGTGGCATTGGCTTCCCCAAAACAATGTATATTTTAAATTTTACAAATAAAATATTCACTGTATTGGCCACCAGGACAGTTAAAATTGTGGCGTACTTTAGTTTTTTATTCAGTCGATATTAAAACAAATTGATGAAATAAAATAGTTTTTTTATTCATAGAAAAATGACAGATCATTTTTATGATGTTAAACTTTACATTTCGGAAGTATGACCCCGCTTATAAAATAAGTTTCATCTTTCCATAAATGTAATATTGCTATATGTTGCCCCCAGAACGAGACAAGAAAAATTTGAATGTTTTCACGATATCGAACCTTAGGCTCCCAGCTCGCCGCTCTATGTTCGCAAACGATTAGACCGTTATTAATTTTTTAGGGCGCCCACGCCCACAAAACAGGCACAAAAACCCTTTTTACATTCCCATTCGTGGAGCCTAGCCGTCGACGTATAATTTGGAGGGACCACTAAAATTGTGAAATTGGGGCGGCCGCGGGCGAAATAAAGGGAGTCCGGTTCAATTTCGTTTCCCGGATAGCGTTTTAACCGACGGATGTCGGTTTGTTAACTCGAAAACGATAATTCGAATGGCGCTAGATATTATTTTAATGTCGAGAAGGAGAATGACCCGGTCGGTGGGACGGCGGGGGACATTAATGGCGTATGATTGCTCGCAGGGTAGCGGTGGATAATCGGCGATGTCTTATACCTGCGTAATGCATACTTTGTTCAGTTAAGGAGGTAGACAGCGGTAAATATTGTGCGATATAAAACTTTCAAACGGCAATGTAGAATGCTACCAAGGCTCTGTATAAAATTCCGTATCAATCGCAGTGTTAATTTAATGTCGAAACATTTGACGTTTTGAATACTTACAACAAAATAGTTAAGCAAGATTTATAAATTATTATACTAAAAATATGATGTGAAATTATAACTATGTAACTTCAGCGAAGAATCTAATAGTATAGTTAAGATCCCCGAAAGAGACTACAAATCTCATCATATATCATTAAGATATCACACATATCATTAAGATCCGCAAAAGAGACTACAAACCTCTACAATACAATCAAAGGGATAGAAGTAAAAATATACACACACATAATTTAAACTCAAAAACTGTGTGTGCCAGTGATGGACTGCCAATCCACTTGATGATAAGTAGTGATGTAGTATTAACTGGTAAATGCATCCTAAGTTTTCGATTCAAGTATCAGTTTATAGATATATGCGCGCAACCATTATCACCCTTCAGTACCAATTTTTACTTTGACAAGTATCTAATGTCGACGTATAACAAAATGACTGCACTATGTGTTCGCAACTTGTCGCAAATCTACTTTCGGATGTATACGTGTGACGAAATCGTGTATTAGCCAAAAGTGAAATGCCAAACGTACCGCCCGAGGCGCGATATTGCCAGTGCGGTAAATTACAGCGGATGATGGCCAACTACTGTCCGATGTGGCAATGAGACAAAGTTACTGAATAGCCGTAACGCTTACAAGCGATCAATATAAATTTGTGCGAAATAGACGGTGAATTGTAATTTTGTTCTAAATCCAACCCAACGCTAAGTTTGAAGTCAATTTTATCGATACTTTTGTTTTGTCGGTATCGATAGTCTGAAACTGGAGTGAAGTAAACAGACGGGAGTTGGCGGTACGTTGCAATATGTCATATTATAATGAAGTAATACGTAGCGAAGTAAAAATCTACTTCACCGATACTCCAGTTTTATCGATATCGATAATAAAAAACATGTTTTTACAAGGAGACAATTGTTACTGCACCTTTTTCAGTAAAAAGTTAACGTGCTGTGTACTAATGCGTTATTATAGATGATATCAAGCGAATTTAAAACGTAATTCCCAATAATATTTCATAAAACAGTTTCCATTGACAGTGATTTCGCATAAACACATGAAATTAATCTTAGGAGGGAGATACTGTGGCTTCTGCTAATGTGTGTGTCATGTATTAACGGGTGGCTGGGGGCGGTGAGAACCGCCCTGGAACGAGTTTGTACTTGTGCACGCGTTGTGTTGGTTTCGCTGTGCGTGTAGGTGAGGACTAACTTATTGGTTGTGTGTTAGTTGGTTATGTGTTAGCTCTACGTGTGGATAGTGTCGTCCATCGGGCCCCGGTGATCACATCCAAAGAACTTCATCACTGAACGAGCAAACAGAGTCATTAATGAAAAATCACACAATCAAAACCGAATCGCGCTCGTCGATAAAGCAGCGGTGTGCGCAATTACTCTGCAACGCGATGCAGAATCACGTTCCGAATAAAATATTACGACGTGGGCGGTGAGGTATCGTCCATCTTTGTTTGGTCGGCACCGGAACAGTTAATAGGGAAAGTTAAAATTGGAACTCTGTACTTGTTAAACATACTTAACCATACTTTACTTGTATAAATAAATACATAAATATAAACACCCAGTCAAAAACATTCTCATCTCACAATATTTTTCCAGTGGCGTGGACCGAACCCACGCCCTCTACCGCGAAAGACAGGCTCACTGTCCAATACACTAACCGGGGTCGTCATGATTAATGAATGACAACATCTCGCCGCGATGACACGAACGCGAAGTACACGAGAAAAATTAAAATGTAATCTGAGTTTTATTCCATGCGGTGAATTTTTTATACAATTTGCCTCGTAACTATTGTATGGTATTCAGTTTAGTGATGAAGATGAATTATTGTCATGAACGCGTTACATCAAGTTGTGATGTCGTTTAATAAAATTGTCGGGGTAGTTTGAAATCTATGACTCATGATTTCTTTAAAAAAATCAATGTTATCGAATAAATGTCTCATCGTTAAGATCATTCTGATCAATTCAAAGAGTTTAACCATCCTTTTAATAATGACTTTTGAGTAGCCATTTGACAGTTGATTAGTTAATCTCTACGATGATTAGTGTTTCAGAAACCGGGCGTAAAAGGAGCCTATCCTGTCAATGCTAAATACATAACTGTTCTCGTCGTACAGTATAAAAATTAAAATGTTACATTGACTTACGTGAATGAAAATATAATTCTTTAAACTTATTGAACTATTAACTTAAAAAAACCATCTACGTTACTATAAACTGTTAACAAAGAAAATTGATAAGTTAAAGCGAGACTACAATATATTATAAAATTTGAAGTTCATTACAAGTTCATCCATACGTACAGTACAATTATTGTAAGGCTACTTTTTTTTTACGCGCGAATCCAATTTTGCAGACTCCGCGACTACGCCAACCAAGGCACAGTGGCTTAGCATATCGGCTGCGCACCGTATCACAGGTTCGATTTCCGCACGGAACCAACTATCGTACTGCCTATTAATATGATATTTTTTAAGGACTGAGTGCTTGAGTATGTGAACTTTATATCTGTTATTGCACCCACTGAAGAATTGGTAGGGTGGGTCAACATTTCTATTTAAAAAAAAAATTACACTGACGAAGAGGGTACGTTTCGTAAAACGCGTTGGATATTTCGTATATGTTGGTTTTTTGCATTAAACATGCCAACATACAATTTTAAAATTGATGACCAGATCGTTGTCTTAATATTAATCATAGTTAACATTTATAATCACAACACGTGACCAGCCGTGTAATTCGGAAGACACGAGCGAAAGATTTATAACGCAATCGCTTAAAACCCAGTTCGCAATTTAGTGACTGTCTTACGTCGTTTAATATATCCATCCGATATTATATTACGCGAGTCTTAACTCGGTAAATAAGTTACACGCTGGGGCTGAGTCACTCAGGGCATTGCTGGACGTTAATTCGACTTTCTTAATACCGTTCGCAAAACCGAATCACTAGGCTAGTGTTGTGACACCATCTATAGATCAGTGTCGCGTCGCGTGATCCGCATCCGTATCGCCAGCCTGTGCAGCGGCGGTAGTGCTGTGACAGTATCGATAATTCGGTGCAGGCGTCGCGCGTTCCGATATAATACCCGGTGGCGCCGCGCCAGGCGCGTGCACGGGCGGCGCCGTCACGCTGTCATCGATATCGATCGGATTTATCGACAAACGGTGCCCGATACGGTCCGAGTGGAAATTGGCCGATAGCGCGTGCAACGAAAGCGGCCGACGCGAAAGCGGCGCCCAGATATGATTTCCGTTTACCAACACGCAATTGTAAACACGCGCTCTACATTGTTAAAAAAACTTCCTATTTTTTTTATTAAACCGAATAGTGAACATGATGAATTTTATCGATGTTTTTGTAAAATCCAACGCGTATCATGCGTAACCGTTTATTACTCTACTAGCGACCCGCCCGGATTCGCACGGGTGTAATGTATTTGACATATAAACCTTCCTTGAATCATTCTATCTAGTAAAAATACCGCATCCAGATCCGTTGCGTGGTTTTAAAGATCTAAGCATACATAGGGACAGACAGACAGCGGGACGACTTTGTTTTATACTATATAGTGATCTGTCTAATGATACATGTGCAATTTTTGTACGCATCTATGACACGAAATTGTTAAACTCACCAAAATAATTATACAGATGTACTTATTATGAATAAGCAAGAGGGATTTAAATTCCTGAACAATAAAAAAATACATTTATTTATACCAACTTAAAAATAACAATAGTGGGTTGACAAATGTCAGACGGGTCGCGGACCAAAAGCGTCACGGGCTTCCGTACCCGCGGCGTGCAATTAGGCGCGAAGATCCCCTTATTCACGGCTGCATTCCCGTCGCAATGTCGTAATGGAACGTGGCGGCCGGCCAAGGGCCTTGGCGCCGGCGGCGTCCCGCATTTACGGGCGGCGCGTACCAGCCGCGAAACGAAACCAATTAAAAGCGGCAACGTCACGCTCGAATTGAGATCCGCGGGTTTATCGCGACGACGGATAAGAGATATTCGGATAACTGATCCAATTGTGTGTACTAGAGAGACGTGATAGCTCGTTGTCGTTTAATTCATTGTCGAATTTTCTTCCAGTCGACCTTGCGTGTATTAAATTCTGACTGCGTAGCAATTCAAAATATGCGGTGTGAGTACAAGCTGGTAACATGTACTATTCTTCACGCTAAACTCTAAGTTTTATGATTACCATTGTGGTAGTACCGTTGAATCGCCGAATATTTACCCGTTTGAATTTTAATCCTTGCTCAAAATAATAATGAAATTGTTTTAGATTCATCTAAAGATAATGGTGTGACACCAATTCAAATCAACGTCGATAGAAATTCACTGTTACGTGCGAAGCGGTTTCTATTTTTTTTCCCCAATTGATGTAACTGCACATGGTACAAAAAAGGTTGAACAATTAGCGTTCAGAATCTGAAAAAGACAATAGTGACGTTGCGTGTAGACTCGCTAATGATTCGTTGAGGCGTCTTCCCGCGGGTGAAGAATGGGGCCGACATCGACATCGACGGGGCCGAGAGACGTCCATTATATCGATAAACACTTAATACGGTCCCGGTCACGACTCGCGATAATAGGCTCGCAGTCGCGATGTATTTCCTTATATCTATTTGCAATATAAACGGCGCCGCGGCGATCAAACAGCTCTTCCAGTTACCGCTTGCTTAATACATTAGCATAGATCGGACGATTAAATGTTTGCCGGTGGTATTATTTCGCTTACCGATAATTGCCGCGAATACGTTCACGTTTACCCATAGCTAATGGATAAATATTTGTGTATATGATAGGACGTAAAAATTGGCCTTTAACAGAATAATAAATTGTAATATTACATCAATTCGCATTCTATTTTTGCTGCGTACCAAATAGCAAACAATCCGGTCCTATAACAATAACTAGTGCGCACCGATGTCTAAGGAAAACCAATAAACGCAGCACGCGGTCCGGATTTACAAACAGCCTTTCAGCGGCGCGCGCGTTGTTTATCGAATTCGATAGTTTATTGTGACTATCGACGGCGGGCGTCACTAGCGGATGCGGCGGGCGCCGTGTTGCGCCGGCGCCGCGGTTTCGCGAACAATGCCTTTCCACTCGCTTTGGAAAAACGCTGATTGTTAATTGTTATGCTAATAAAACGATCCCTATCTGGGTATTTCGCGCATTGTGTACGTTCTACGTGACCGTCTACTTACTATTCAAAGCTAAATCGCGTTGAAAATCAACACACTTAATTTTTTTTTTCTAAATGTTTAACGACAGTCAACTTCGACAATTTGGTTTTTACCTTTAGAATGTCACTGGCCAGTATCGACGAGCGATGGTGACACTTACCTGAAAAAAGAAAAAAGTACATTTTAAATATGGAACTATCGGCCAGATCTGCTTTCTTGTATACGTTGAAGTTATAAAGCTTGTGTCGATGCGGGGCTGAATATGGGTTATTTTTGTATTCGTAACTTATCAGAGCCGGCTAACTTAGGCGTTCGTCGGCGGCGTAATGTTTATTATTTGAGTCGGGAGCAATATCGGCCTCTGCGTACGCGATATAAGTTATAAACAATGCACGGATTTACGCGCTACTGTCTATTATAAATAAACAAAGAGCTGTACCGTGCGCAGAATAAAACGAATTGGGGTATTACTATATTATTATTTGGATTAATTATATAAATATCGTAATTCAGTGGTTAGTTTATGGAGTTGTTTGACGTATACATTAATATTAAGATAAAGATAACGCTAAAAGAAAGCATAATTAACATATGTATTATTTGGTATATATTATTATTCCTCACAAAATTTCTCGAGCTGCATTAGAGTATGGTTGAGACGTTGGCTGATGATTTGAGGTATTGATTTCGAATCACTGTCGCCTTGGGAATCACTGAGTTTTGTTTTTTTTTGTAAATTAAGGTAATTTTTTTTGTAAATTAAATTATTATGTAAATAGTTCGAAAACAAATTTCATTTCCAAAATCATTGCAATAAAAGACATTTCCCCACATTGCAGACGAAACACGATAAAATAAGAGAACACTATCAATAATTGTTATTTTAGCATTGCTTAGCTTGCTTAGGTTAATTTATTCTATCATGTACTTTTAAATGTTAGTCATAGAGTTATTTCCCTTGACCGAACGCTTCACGTAGTTTTACCTGTTCAATATATTTTGTACCTAATGCTATTTTTATGTTATTGACCTGATTAAACGACGTACTTGTAGTTTTGTTGGTTGATTATATTTTTGTTACCATATAAAAGATGAAAAATGTTAATACGCATTCAACATTATATATAGGATCAACACTATATTTTATATAATATACAAGAAATTGAAAACGGAATAGCAATTGTAATAAGCAAGTGTAATAAATTATGCGTCGGTAAAACTAAATTGTGAACCGTATGGGAACAGAGAGAGAGAGAGAGCAACGTTAACATTTTAGCCACTGCGCTATATGAACCAACCGCTTAATATTGAAGATTACCTTATTACTTTTTCGTTACAAATTTCTCTGCGCTCGGTACAAGACTTTTTCGGTTTACACTAACATCTGTCGCCACGCGCCGCTTGAGCGTTTGTGACCAGTGTTAGAAGAGCCGTCTTCTCCTAATGCAAAAACGAGGCTCCCGCAGCCTCATGGCTCCAGCAGAGCTGGTCGTCTGGTTTCCCGTTTCGAAGTTGCCACTCAGCGGGTCGCCTTTTCTAGAATGCTCTATTCGTGGACGATATCCCAGCGCGTATAGAAATAGCTACGTGTGCGTGTATTGTGTCAATGAATGGGTTTTTCATGGACACTCCATTTTGGATTGCACGATATATTCACTGTGCCATCCAAAATCCAGAGTATAACATATTGTTACATTAATGAATCAAAATAACACAGTCATATTCATATTTGCTTCATGAGGAACAACGTTTGCTATCCAATAAATAGAATCTAAAGACGAAAAGACTTATCATGAATAGCTAGGCTTGAAGATATTTCGTGTAATTATTGCAGTATCCATCATCATCATTATTCCACCTATGCGGAATCGGCAGTGGTTTTGGCTAGGTGCTTTTACGTCTGACCGTGTGCCTGACATCAACCCTCCTTGGGATCGAACACCCAGATCCGGAACAATTGTTTGTGGGTCACAGAAATACTTGCCTCGTGTAGGAATCGTGCCCGTAGCCCCTAGCACCGAAACCAATAACTAAGCAACTGCAAAATCACACAGACATTCAGAATTGGACGAATCTATTTCACTGTTTGATAACAGACGAGTGTAAAAAAGGTAAATATATAACTTATAGCTTTTTTAAAGTGTAAACGAGCTCTGATTGTCTGTACAATTACAGATAACAAGAAGTAAGGTGGTCATAATAATTTTCAAAGATACTAATCAGAGGGTACGTAGCCGATACGTTCCCGAACTCGGTTGTCAACCTTCGGTATCAGTTGAACCATAACAGTTATATGGATTAGCCACGGTTTTAATTGGATATAAATTAACGGATACGAGTTATTTAAGCGGGCGATTTGTTTAGTCTCCAATACACGTGTTGGCTTTCTACGACGGGGTTCATTAGCGGCTTAAGGGTCTCTGCACACTATATCTATCGTCTTTTTTAACCGACTTCATAAAAGGAGGAGCGCCAATTCGGTTGTATGTTTTAACTTCAGAACTAAGTCGTTTATGAAGCGATTTTAAAAATTCTCTTTGCATTTAGTTCGGTTTAGCTCTCGTTTATTCACATTAATTTCATTGGTGTCGGACTCCAGACTGGAGATCCATAATAGAACTGAAATAAAAACAAACAAACAAAATCAAATAAAAAAAAGTATATGAGTACAACATATGAATTCGGTTTTATTTTGTTAGTAAAATGTATTTTAAATTTTATTGACACGATATCGATTTTGCGGGTCTTGGGGATGTCAGCTGACGGTGTTAATCACTTTCCACCTGCTAAACCACCTGCTCTTATGTCACATAAAAACGTTATCCGTGCATAAAACAACTTAGAAAAGTGTAAGACGGACAAGTTCTGTAGAAACTTGGATGATAGCTGTCTTTAAACTTCCTTCAAACATTAAACGCGTGAAAGGTTTATTATGACGATGTCGAAAGCATTGCGCAAGCGAACTTTATTATTTTTTAACATTGATGTTTTCAATTCAACTTCAACAATTGTATTTAAACAATAATCTTCACTTAAAAGAAATTGCCATTTGATTAGTTTACCATTCATTTTATTTTAAGTAAGATTTATAATACCACTCAATTTGTCAGCAAATTAAAAAATTCTTTGATTAATACTTTAACATTTTCTCGAGCTGTAAAGTCAGAGTCATGCATCACGCGTGAACCCATCACGTGTATGCCGTTCTATCTAAATAAATAAAATGATAAACTCTGCCGTTGTGCGTGCATCATTGACAAATTACTGGATAGATTTCAACTAATTCTCTTAAGTAATATTTCTAAGACAATTGAGCCTTATCTAAAAGAAAATACCGTAATACCTTCATTTGTAAAAGTGTAAAGAAATAATTTATAAGCACTACATATTCAGTGATGCTATGTGATGTGTTTGTTGTGGAGAAATGGGAAAAGCGGTAAAGTTGTTAACATAATGAGCAACGCACACAAAGTCACGGGTATCAGCTAGTTATTAATTAGCAAGGAGAACTAGTGTGTGCAGGGCCTAACGTCTACTGGTGGCCGAATGGAATGCCTCACCACCTGTCGACGAAGCCCTGTACGCCCGGATACCTAAGCCCCGTTATAAGGGTCAAATCAACTTGCGCGTTTGTAATCGCTTCATATATAATATTCAGACGAAAGATATTTAATTTATAAAAATACTTCTATCTACAGCTTCAAATGGAAGCAAGGGTTAAACAAGATTTAGTGACATAATTTACGAGAATGATTTCACGACGCTGTCTGTTTTTTTACTGTCTATTTGTATGTACTAACGTTGTATGTGAATTGAATAAAAGTTTTGAAAATCTTCAAGTCTTATTCAATAT